GTCTCTCTGAGGCTGTGACGAAGTACAGGCCTGTGTGGAGGTGGAGTGGCCGGGAGTGGAGGCGCAATTGGATCAATTGATCATCATAATGGGAGCTACTCGAGGGGGGACGATCAGGCCTGGACAGGTGACTTCTAACTGGCGGTTTCTAGTATGGATTCAGAGCTCCTCTTTAGAAGAAATGTTTTGCATGTTTTTGTCGATCAGATTTTTACTATTGGAGGTCAGCAGTTGGTGATGAGGACTGAGGAGGCCGCGCAGATGAATTTAAGCAATCCTAGGAAGTGGTCGAAGGCTGCGGGGCTGTTGAGGTCGGGAGGGCTAGTGAATGCTGATGTGAGAATAAAGTGCAGGCAGAAATTCTGGATACCAAATGAGGAGGAGGTAGTAGTACTCGCGCTCGCCCATACGAGTGATCAGTGTGGGAAAATATGCACATGGTAAACTACAGGAGTTGGTGTATGATGGGGAAACTCCTGAGCTCAGCTGAGGAAAGTGAATATATACTCCTTCAACACTGGGTTTAGTTCGTATCATCACCGATCCTTGTCCTTGGAGGAGGGGACGTCATGTTACTCTTGTATTGACAACAGCTACAGCTTTTGGGACTAGTGAACTTGTGGCACGATTCATGCTCGAGCATTCTTTGGATGCTCAAGAGGAGTGGAAAAACGGTTGCATGGGAATCCTCTCAGTGTGTGACGCTCTCATCGATTTCCGAACCCCTGGGAGGGCTTGTAGGTGTTTCCGTTACGCTCCCATAGGACTGTGTTGTCGGGCTTTCTCTCTTTATGGACGCTTGCTTAAGGAAGCTTTGAAGGAGTATTTTGAATGATTTGTGTGTTGTTCGGATGGTCAATGTTTGATAGAGTTTGTGGGAAGGTTGAGTATATTGCTTTTGGAATGGTGAAAATGAGCGTGTGAATTATTTACTCACTTTTGGCCGAACGATTATGTCAGAAACCGACCAAGTTCGAGCCTACCACACACATATTTCGTATAGAGATGGACCTCATCCCCCACTCAGAGGCGATGTCGGAGTACAGGCCGACGAGCAGTATGAATCGGGATATGTCTTGGTAAAAATGTCTCTACTGAGAATCGAACCTGCGCGGCCTCGCTATCGATCTCGTCGGTGCGGTGGACGGCGAGCGCTCTGCCCGAGTATCTTGCATCTGACCGTTTCAGTGGCGTATCTTACGAGCCCACCCA